AATAATTTCTTAGAAATATCACCTTGCATAATTTCTTACAACACAATAGTATTCCATTATATTTATATACCATAATTTGGTCAGCCTTTCTCCAGTCAATAAGCAGCTGATTTTTCTAGTTCTTTGCCACTACATAAAGATCTACTATCCCTATTTTCATACAACTGTTTCCTTTTCTTCTAGATTATCCTGAATTCAATGTTACATTAACCTTGGTACTTACATGAGTACTGAGACCTCTTAGAGACAAATAAAGCAAATCAAACTCTGGGAAGTATGCTCCAAAGGCCATTCTGATTGAGAAGCCGTCAAGATGAAAATGGTCCACATAAGACCCAGATCTGATCCTAGATCTGTCTATAAGCACAGATCTAGAAACTGAGCCCCTAGCTATACTAAAAATGGTCCCCAAAGATGATATTACTTCCAGTTGATTTAGGTATTTCCAGCAGCTCTGCAAAACTGAATTTGGCTTCCTTGGATCACCAAAAGGTTTGATATTTCTTCCTAATGATTACATAGAGGCCATTTAAATTAAGAGGTCTCACTTTTTAAATTTTTTATTTTCATTCTTTACTATTTAGATTCTATTATTGTCTACAAAAATTCTAGTATTCAAGGCTCTCCACAATTTGACATTTATGTACCTTTCAACTGCATAAGCCATCATTTACCTTCTGTTCTGACTAGCCTGGTCTTCTCAATATCCCTTGAAAATATCCTGATCATTCCATGATTTGAGTGTAGACTGACACTGTTTCCTTATCTCACATCCTCTTACCCCTCCTCTTCACCTAGAAAATCTTACCAATCTGTCTGGACATAATCCATGTTCTAAATCTTCTATTTAGTCTTCACTGACCACCTTACAACATAATGATCACTCTATTCTGAATTAATCTAGTGCTTATTGTCTTTACCACCCACCAGCACTGAGGGAATTAAAGCAGCAAGTGGTGGTGGGAATTGAGTGAACCACAGTGGTTCCATCTTGTTACTCAGTTCTGGAACCAGCTCAGTTCCCTTTCTACTGAGTTATGGATCTAGCCCAATTTTTGTCTTGTGAGAAAACTTTGTTCAACTTTGGGAATTGTAAGAAAACCTTTTTTTGTTGTTTGAACCTAGCCCTGTGTGTCTGGGTTAGCTGGACCTCCTGTACCTGTTTTAGAGAGCACCCAAGGCCACCTCCAGTTGTCCTGATCTAAATCTTGCCACTAGACCCAGATGGCTCCAGAGGAGAAAGTGAGGCTGGTGACTTTGCAAAGCGCTCCCTTATGTAAATCCAATTCACTTGCAAGTCATGGCATCACCTCCTTGATGGGATGATCTTCTTCGAGAATGAAGGACAAACAACAGCAAGAGACCTTTAAGTGAGGACCTAGGTTATGCTGACCTGAAACCCAATAAGATCTGAAGACTGATGCAAGGAGTTTTCTCACAATTATACATCTCAGGCAGCCCTGTACCTGCATTGTTCAACCAGTTATCGTTTCTATGTTCCCTTGATTGTATACAGACACTTGGGGTGAGGGAGGGAGTGGGGCACCTCTTTTACTGATGCCAGGGAATGGCATCTGTTTGCTCTTCCCCTCCCAACTTGGAAAGTCCCCTAATCTTTCCTGCAGTTAAAAATCAAATTACCTATTTCTTTATCCTGGTTAATAGTTTTATTTTAATTAATTAGTCTTATTTGATTTAATTGTTTTTAATGCATAAAAATCTGTCTCTCTCTATATTTGTAGTCCAGTGCCAAAGCTGAGGAGGCCTGGTCTCAAAAACTGGCATACTTTGATTAATAAATTAATATACTCAGAAACTTGTTTCTTAAGTCATTTCATCTTTTAACCGCAACAGCACTCACTGTGTACTGTCTTGTATTGTTAGTTATTATTTTCTTATATTTTCAACTAGGTTATAAACTCTTTGAGGAAAAGGACTATCTTAAACATTTTTATTGCCACCTAGAACATGATAGCTAATCAATCAATATTCATTGATTCACTAGTGACTATTTATATTCCTATGTATAGGAATGTTCTTTTTTTGAAAGGTAACTGCATTGCCAGTGTTTCTTTTCCTTTTCCTCTCACTTTTTCCATCCTTTTAGCTTTCATATTTCTTTGCTCCCAGTACTTTAGATATCAGGCTCTATCCTATGGAACTAGTATGGAACTATACCAAGAAAGAAGAGATCTTCATGAGAAATTATTTGAGGGACCTTGTCATTGTTCTGAAATTCATTCGTTATCCTTTTCTCTGGGTAAAGGAGCTCACTAAAGGTTCCTGCTAAAATGTATGCCTTATCAGGGAGGAGTGATATATTAAATTATTATCAGTTATTATGACTTTCACTTAAATTAGTTTATCAGTTCAACAAGTCACTTAGGAAGACTCTAAGTAAAAAGAATGTAATACCAGAAGAGGAAATTTAAGTAGAAGTGTTGTGGAGTATTTGTAGAATTCTGGGCAATGTATTTTAAGAAGGATGTTGATCAGGGCATTTAAGAAGGACTTTTTCAGAGTGATAACAAGAATAAACAGGGGATTGTAGACAATGGTATATGGAGATAGATTGAAGAAAGAGGTAATGTTTGACTTAGAGAAAAGAAGACCTAAGGGGGAAAGGATGGGGCATGACAGCTATTTTCAAGTATTTGAGATGGTCTCATATAGAAGAGGCTCTGTCCTATGGGATTAGTATGTGGGACCTTGTTGTGCCTAGCTCAAGTGTACAGAACTAGAAGCAATGGGAAGGGGGGAAAAGGGAAGGAAAAATTGAGAATTGCTGAGAAGATTTAAGCTCACATAATGAAAAACTTCCTAAGAAGTGGAGGTGTCCAAATGTGCAATGGACTAGATAGGTAATAGATCCCCATTGCTGGAGGTCTTCATAGATGACTTTTTAAAGGGAATGTCCACTCTGTAAAAGGGATTCTGGTTTAGGTAAAGGAGGGATTTCATGAACTTCTAACTGAGATTCCGTGAGCAATGGAGGGCTGCTGTTGAAAACAAAATGTATCTACATTTGCTTAGGACAAACCTTATGATACTGAATAAAGAATCACAAAGTTTAACAGCTGAAAGGGATTTAGTAATCATCTAGTCAAATTTATGATTCCTATCCCCCGGAAAAGAAATCCCTACAATACACTTAACATATGGTTATCCAGTCTTTGCTTGAAGACCTCCAATAAAGAGATCTTGTTACCCCCTGAGGCAATCTATTCCACTTTTGGATAACTTTAGTTGTTAAAAAATATTTCTTTTCAATCAAACCACCCCACACTTTGAGTACGGAAGCTCTCACCTTATCATTCTCCTCCCTAAAATGTGGTGTCTAGAAAACAGCATAATATTCTAGATACGGTCTGACCAGGGCAGAGCATAGCAAAACTATCAATACACTCCCTCCCCCTTATTATATTGTAAAGGTCATAGCTACTGATAATCTACCATAAATCCTAGATCTTCTTCAGACAAACTACTGTCTGACTCCCACAGTTTGTACTCATAAAGTTAATTTTTTTGAACCAAATGTCACACTTTGCTTTATCCTTATAATTATCATCTTACTACATTCAGGTCAGTGTACTAGCCTTTCCAGATCTTTTTGGAAGCTGACTTTTTAGTCGAGTATATTAATTTTCTTCCTTAGATATTTGTCCTCTACAAATTTGAAAAGGAGACCATTTATCCTTTATCTAAATCATTGATAAAAAAAAAAATTTGTGCTCAAGTGGAGCTCCACCCAAGCAACCTGTGTCTTCTTTTAGTTTTTACTTCAGGTTCTTGTGATTCTTAGCTGCCATGTTTCTTCATAGAAACACATATGGCCTATAGAGAAGGATGGTGTGAAAACCATGCAATGGGCTGTAAAAGGTGGTCATTAGTAATTCTCTGAGTAGCAATTATAACGGAATGTTTTAGTCACATCCAGCAATTGAATATGCACGTTATTTCACAAACAGTTGTTTCTTATTTGCTTCCCAAGTTCAAACCATTAAAAAAGAAAAGCATTCACTCAACCTAGGTTTTCAGTCAGCAAATTTCTCAGCTATGGAGGAAACTTACTCTAAAACTGGATAAAGCATTGGGGAACTTATATGTGTATTTTGGACCACAAAGGATGCTTAAATTAGCTAAATTCTATGTAATCTGAAAATCATTTGAATCTACAGTTAGGTGTGCTCAGTAATTGCCCATAAAACTCATCCCAACCTTTTCATGCTATTTTGTCTTTGTGCCTTATATCAATCCAACAGACATTTATTAATTACATACTATGTTCCAGGCACTGCAATATATGACAGGATAAGGAGACATTAAGAAGATAAATCCCTGCCCTTAATGAGCACATATTCTGCATGTAGGGGTGGAGGTGGTAGAGATATACTAAATGCATAGGTAAATAATTACAGAATATACAAACTAATTTCAGGAGAGCACTGATAAGAGATACAATGAGAGAACACCAAGAGCTATAATGCATATACAGAAAAGTAACTAAAACCTTACATATTTTATTTTATGCATTTAAATTATTATTCTGAGAAGAAGGGGCATAGGTTTCCTCAGACTGCCAAAAGAGTCTGCAATAACAAAATTAACAACTCCTGAGACAGAGGATATTCCCTTTATCCAGACAATGTAGTCCAGAGTGAAGTGATTTAAATCAGTTAACTGAGTAATTGTGACTTTTAGGTTGACACACATTTCAACAACACAAAATCACCAATACTTACACTTGAGAAAGCATCATATGCATACGTACTACACACACACACACACACACACACACACACACACACACGCACACATTTGTATGTGTACATATATATATATAATATATATATATATATATATATATATATATATATATATATATATATAGGGTCTTAAGGTAGATAGTTGCTTTATGACTAAGGTTCTCAATTTAAATTAGCATGAAATAATAACAATAAAAGGGAGATTTACCAAAAGTCTTTCTTTTTTATCTCCAGTATTCAGACTACAGCACAGTGTTTCCGATACAAGTGACAAAAGCAGAGTCAAAAGCAGATTAAAGAAATTCATTAACCGAAGACCTTCCCTGAAAACTCTTCAAGAAAAAGGACTTATTAAAGGTACAGTGAATTTTGTGCTTTTAATATAATAGAAAAATCCTAATTAGGTATTTTTGTACCCAGAACCTCTGCCACAAACTATTCCTGTGGCAAGTGGCACAAAATGTGCCCCCAGTATTTATTCATCAGTAGCAAAAATTATTAGTAATACAAATACTAAGGAGTATGAGAATGAAGATTATAACAATTAGCATAAATATATAAAGCTCCAAGGTTTGCAATGTGTTTTATACAAGTTATCCCATTAGATCCTAACAAGAACCTCGTGAGAGAAATGTTGTTATTACTTCCATTTTCCCAGTAAGAAAATTGAGATCAAGAAAAGTGAAATAACTTTCTCAGGTCACACAGCTAGTAGTTGTGTAAGGCAGGATTTGGATTCAGTTCTCTTTGACCTCAAGTCCAACACTATGACACTATATCATCTACCTGCTTCAAGTAAACAGAGGGTGGGGTAGGACAGCATGATGTAGAAGCAGAGACTCTGGTTCAACATCATGAAGTAATTTCTGTGGATACCAAATGGGATTGGAGGGAAATGAGCAGCATGATAGAAGAATTCTTACTGAAACTTTTTTTTTCCTTGTTAAGTAGATGCTAAGTTTTGTTATTTATTCGCTATTGCAGGAATGTAAGGGATATTGAAGGGATGCATCATCCTCTAAATTTGGTGCCCTTGGACAACACCTTTGTTACCCTGTCTTAGTTATACTATTAATAATTAAATATGACTACACTAATTCTAACTCTTTTAACCTCAGTCAAGCAACCTAATTCTCTGAGCCTCTAAGGAGGTATTTTGGATCATCCAAGGGAGTGTGACAATGAAAGGGTGCTCTGACTTTGAATCAGGGGACCTAAGTTCATTCCTAACTCTTACACTTGTTGCCTGTGTGACCTTGGACAAATCACTTAAGCCCAACTCAGACTTATCTTCCTCACCTATAAAAAGAAAAAATTATACAGGATGGCTTCTGAGGTCCCTTCTAGGTCCATATATCTATGGTCTTTTGAATACTTTCATTCTGTAAATTTAGAACCCAAGGCACAAAGTAATTTATTCCTTTCTGTCCAGATAAAATACTCAGCAGAAAATGTTAGAAATTCCAGATGAAAGGCATAGAAACTAGTTAGATTGAACTTTTCGTCTTCAAAATTAAGTTGAAAGATATATTATTTCATAAACAAGTGAAATAGAGATCTTGAATCTAGTATTATTCAACATGAAAATGTTTAGATATTCAAAGTTTGACATCTGAATGCTAGAATTAAGTTCTAGAATACAATTTGTAATAATCATCAGTAATATAGAAATGGATATGTATTTTGCATATTTATAAGACAAGTTTGATTCAGATATTACACAGAAACATGCATTCATATGGTCTTAAAGACATAGGAAGCCTTTTTTTAACGGTGGTATCATTGGGAGACAGCACTCACAACTATTTCATATTTCCATTATATTGGATTTTTGCCCTTTATTGCTTTTGTTTTTAGGGACACATGACCTGACCTATGGTATATCTAAATTTATATCCTAATCAACTACATGTAAAGTTCTTTCAACTTATTTGGCAAAGGACCATCTTTAAAGTTAGGGTTTTGCTGTAGGTTAACTTACTAGCTTGAAAAAGATAAGCATATAATCAACTCAAACCAACCCAAACTCAGGCGTAAAGCCTTAAGATTAACACAGAGTTCAAAAAGTCTTGATTCAGAAGCAGAGCTGAAACCCAATCAAAATGCTGAGAAACTATTAACTCAGATCTTTCTCAGAACTCAAGAGTAACTGTAGTTTTAATATTGATGTAATGGAATGTCAGGGAAAAATCAGATGAGTTAATTGCATATCTGATAGCTCCATTAAATTTTAACCCTCAACAGTCCAAAGAGTCAGGATTCATTAACAAGGATAATATTATGTCAAATCGACATGAAATGTTGATTTCATAAAGTTCAGTTACTGTGTTAAGTGGCATTTCTCTGCTTTGAAAATCCAGTATATTTCTTAATTATCATTTAGTTTTAAATGTGATTTTCTCTCAAAAATATGAAGCATGTGACTTTCTTTAACTGAGCAAAAGTCAATAATCTAAATTTAAACCACAGGATATGTTAGATTACCCATTAAAAAAAATTCTTATACTAAAGGTGCAGAAGCTTCACTATGTCACTATGTCATTAAAATCAATATGTTTTGATCAGTAAGAAAAGGAAGGAAGGAAGGAAGGAAGGAAGGAAGGAAGGAAGGAAGGAAGGAAGGAAGGAAGGAAGGAAGGAAGGAAGGAAGGAAGGAAGGAAGGAAGGAAGGAAGGAAGGAAGGAAGGAAAGGGAAAGAGAAAAGAGATAGGAAAAGAGTATTTTCAAAATGTCATCAGGGTTAAGTATTGCTTAATAACTTTCAGCTAGGAGACAATCCTTGATTATTGTAACTCCAGTTTATCACTCTATTTAAAAATAAAGTCTTTATACATAACAACTATATAAAGTAGGAATTGTAAGTATTATTATCCCTGTTTTCCAGATAAAGAAAGCAAGGCTCTGAGAGGTTAGAGATGGTTTTCCCAGGATCAGAGAGCTAGTGAGTGCAGGAGTTGGGATTAGAATACAGGTGTCCTGATTTCAAGTCAAATTCTTTTATCAAAATGACTAAGGTGCTTCGTAATCTTTCTCTAACCATTGTATATTTTTACAAAACAAAAATTGTTTTCCATGCTATATGTAATCTTCCTGATCTGGACAAAGGACTCTATTAATAAGATGGAGAGGATCATAATTGGTGGCTTTTTAAATTTAATTCAATTTTGGTTTTAGGTGCCAATTCTCTCCCTCACCCATTCCCCTTCTTTTCCCCTCAAGATATTGAGAAAAACAAAATCCCTTACAAAAATGTATTGTCAAGCAAAATAAATTCTCATATTGTCCATGTCCAAAAAAATAAAATAAAATCAATCTCAATTTGCATTGTCAATGCAACACATCTCTAGAGCTGGATAGCATGTTTCATCACAATGAATTATGGTTTATCATTGTTTTCATTAGAGTTCCTAAATCTTTTAGAAATGTTGGTATTTACCATATTGGTTGTGATGATATAAATTGGTCTCCAGGTTCTGTTCATGTCACTTAGCATTAGTTCATATAAGTCTTCAAATTTTTCTCTGTAACCATCTCCTTCATCCTTTCTTAAATCACAATAGTATTCCATCACATTCATATGTCATAATTTGTTTGGCCATCCCTTAATTGATGGGCACTACCTAAGATTCCCATCCTTTGCCAGATAGTTTCTTTTTTTATATATTGCAAAAAAAACTTTCTCATACTAGGGTACGAGGAAGTGACATAGTGAAAAGACCTGTGGATAAGGACTCAGAAGACCTAGTTTCAAATAGTTCTGCTGCTTGCTACCTTTGGCAAATCACTGCTCTGGGCCTGAGTTTTCCTTCTCTCTAAGGTTCCTGAAGGAACATACTTCCATTTTCTATTCAGAGCAAAGTTAATCCCATGTTGGGAATCAAGCTATTTTCATTATTTTCATAATGCTTATCAGAGTAGCATCTCCAGAGTGCTTGATAGAAATCTAATGTACAACTAGGTGACCACAAATCACTGCAAATTCAGTCACATACCATTTCTGCAAAGTGTGTGCTATGCAAGGTCTTGTAAAAATGTCCAGAATTATGTCAATCTGGCTCTAGAAATACTAACATAATGGAATATTTTTGGTTTCTTAATGAGATTAATAAGAAAAAAATTGCTAGTGCAAGAAACTACTGATAACCAATAGGAAAAGAGAGGAAGAAGTACATGATCTGGAATGATTGCTCCTAGAAAAACTCATCCAAATAGCTCAGGTGGGCATAGTGTTAATCATGCCATTGTAAGTGTAGGTGCTCTGAAAAGCCTTCAATTTCCACCAAGTGCTGTTCATATTTGCCAAATACACTGTCAAGCTCTCAAATGTGTATGGAATTTCATTATTTTTTATATTGTGCATCAGACTGGAACCCATGCTCCAATCAATTTAATATACAAGTTATAGAAAAAAGAATGCATTTTGGGGTGGCTCATAGGCATATTTGTATGTACCCTCTACTTGTTTTAGACCTCCTTTTGCTCATATTGGGTAATAACTCTTTAGCTCTAGCCAAACCTAAATATTCCAGCTCTTAAATAATAGATTTGATGCCCAAGAATAGGAAACTCTTTGAACATAATTTTCAGAAAATAAGGCAATATTTGGATATCACAGCTAATATTTCCTCAGAGGTAAATTCTAGATAGGCAGATAATCAGTATCATTGAGGCTGTGGCCAACCTCTAGTTAAATTCCCCCTATGATAGGAGAGGAAAGAAGCATAATGTAGTAGAAAGAGCATTGTGTCTGAAAGAACTGGATTCAAAATCCTGCTTGGTTGTTTATATTTAGATTACCTTAGTGAAGTGCTAATACTTTTTTTGAACCTCATTTTTAATTTCATCATTTTTAAAGTGGGAGGTAAGAAAATATTAATTTCTAAGGCTATTTGTCCTATTTAGACCAATCTAACTATCAGGAAGGATAGTTGTTGTTCCAATCAATTTCTGATTCTATCAATCAACCAGCATTTATGAAGTGCCTACTGTGTGCCAGGTACTGTGCTAGACACTAGGAATATAATAACAACAAAAAAAATTAAACAGTCCCTTACATTAAAAAGCTTCTATTATGTTGAAGGAAACATACATGTATACATTTATGTACATATATACAACTATATATGAATGTATGTGGAGATACAGATATAGATACATAATCTCTCACTTCTTTCAAGGCACAGTTCAAGCACCACTTTCTACCTAGATGAATGATAGATAGATAGATAGATAGATAGATAGATAGATAGATAGATAGATAGTAAAAAAAGGCTTTATGTGGAAAGTCGTGCTTAAATAGTATCTTGAAAGAAATGAGATTCTATGAGGTGGAGGTGGAGCAAAAGTGAATTCCAAAA